GAGAGAGAGAGAGAGAGAGAGAGAGAGAGAGAGAGAGAGAGAGAGAGAGATAAATTTGAGAGGGAAGGGTAGAAATGTTGTAAATACAGTACCCACATGTGAAATTCTCAAGGACTGCAGACCTCAGGCCTAGGAGAAGTTGGTCAACACAAACTGGGCTCAAAGGGAGAGGGAGAGAGGCGTGGAGTTGGGTGGAAGGAAGTGGAAGAAAGATTTGATCAGAGTCAGAGAGAAGAATGAATGTGATAAAATACACTGTACAAAATTCTCAAAGAATTAACAAAAACATCACTACTTTTTAAATTGTAAATGTTTAATCATGAAATATTAGAATGAAAGACAAATGACAGTATCTAAAAAAGGTCCTCGGATGGAGAATTAATGATTTACTTAATCTAAATGTTATTAAACTTAATTTAGTAGAGACCAAAGACAAGAGAAGATCACGTGTGAATAATTAACTTTAGGAATTATATGATTAGCAGTTATGGCTTATTTTACTAATATTTCTAAAGTTTTGATGAACATTGTCTATGACTTCAAATTATGTCTTTTCATTTTAGATTCTTCTATATTAATTGTACACATTAATATAGTTCAATGTTCTATTCTATACATACACATAGTATTCAGATTAAATACAGTTTCTATTTATTGCCCCCTCCTCACCTAAACCTTTTGTTTTGCTCTATGAAGGGATATATTGCTTAGCCTAGATATAAGAGGGGGGAGGCTTGGTCCTGCCTCCAGAGATGTGACTGACTTTGTTCACTCCCCACAGGAGGCCTCACCCTCTCTAAAGAGTGGATGGGGATGTGGTGAGAGGAAGGTGGAGGAGAGTAGGGTGAGGGAACTGGAATTGGTATGTAAATTAAGATTGTTTTAAAAATTTTTTAAAAGAATGCAAAAAAAAGAACCAAGCCAAAAGCTGTATTATATATGCAGAGGACTTGGTGCAGACACATTGGACCCTGCCTGTGCTTGCTGCATTAGTTTCTGTGAGCCCACAGGCTCCTTGCTTAGTTGATTCAGAAGGCCTTGTTTCCCTGGCGTCTTCCATCAGTTTGGGTCTCACACTCTTTCTGCCTCCTCTTCCGTGTGGCTCCCTGAGCTCTGGGGGAGGGATTTGATGTAGATCTCCCATTTAGATTCTCTCTCCACAATATCTGGCTATGTGTCTCTATCTGTTGCCATGCACTGCTGAAAGAAGCCTCTCTTGTGGTGACTAAGTAAAGCACTGATTTCACTTTATTGAGAGTTCCATCAGACATCAATGTCCCTGGATAAAAGCAGATACATTTGAAGCTAAGTGCTTCAGACAGTATTTTCTTTACACACACACACACACACACACACACACACACACACACACACAGCTTACCCATGCTTATTACAAACCTGATGTTGTACTTCAGAAAAGCTCATTTGTAGTTTTGTTCATAAGTTTTCAAGAGAGTTCTCTATTCTGGCTCTCACGCAGATTCAGGTCAACCAGAAGGGAGGAAAGTTCTGAAAGAAACCTGTGACAATAGTAAATCATAATTGCAAAGTTCCACAGTCCTCCCAGTCAAGAGACGGCTTCAGAGCCAGTCTCCAAAGCATACACGCGCTGATACCCAGTGCTCAACTGCTTTGCTTACTTAAACACACTTGCTTTTCACAAACACATAGGAAACTTTCCTTTTGCATATTATATCCGATCAGTACAAAGTTATTGATGACCAACAGTGAGCAAGTGGGAGGCTCCCGCTCTCTTTTGAAGATACTCTTCCTGCATTTAGATGCTCGGACCCATTCCCGCCGATGAAGCCAGTTGCTTTTGCAGGCCGTCCCTGAAAAATAGGGCTGCTCTCCGAGCCAAGCGTTCCCAACTCCTTTGCAAACGGAGAAAGCTTTGGTTGCAAACTGTGATTATTTCATGATGTGTTCACTAACATTTCAGGGTCATGTGATGATGATTTCATAACGTTATATCATTATTTCCAGTTTCAGTGTGTTTATTGTGTGACTCGGAGTTCCAGGACAGGCCATAACTTTAATGACTTTTGCAATAACAACGTAGTGTGCAAAATAGTCTATATTGGAAAAGATTACATATTTGGATGTCAGCTTTGTGGTTTTTCCCTTCTGAAATTTCTGATTTTCTCTTGTTTTGTTTCTTTGTGGCTTTTCCCCCAGTATATTTATTTTCAGAGGTCACAGTCACAGGTTAAAGCAGCTTCTCTCTGGATGGGGCCACAGTCACTTCACTTAATGGAGAAACTCTCTAAGGCAATACTTTTTGGATTGAGGGATTTAATTGTTTTTCCCCATGAAGAGTGCTTTGCCTTGGTTGGTTGTTATCTTTAGGTAACTTCCTTCTCATACCTCTCCTTGCCTTGGTAAGGGTTCAAGCCTTTTAGATAGTGTGAACAGGGATGGTTACTGATGTCTAAAAGTCTGTTAACATTTGAAGTTTTGCAAACAACTTTACCTAATGGATATTATGTTATTAGGATTTAGAAATTCTGAAGGCGAATTAGTAAATCCCTTTCAAAATGAATGGGATAGAATACTTCATTTTTGTGTGTGCATCATTGCAGCTTACATAGCTGATAGAACAATTCAAGGGGAGAAGATGCCTTCAGGGGGATGTGCTTCTTTGTGGAGGAGAATGAATGGCAGAATTCCACTTGTGGTGGTGGCTCCTTGCATCACAAGCCAGTAGGAAGCAAATGAGCAGTTGAAACTATAGACCAGGTCTACTTCAGTTAGCTAGACGGTACCTACCAAAGTCTCCGAAAGCTACCACGCAGAACCACAAACTGATGTGGGGTTAGCACTCAAAAACACACCCTGTTGTAGACATTTCCTTTGCAAGTCACAAAAGGTATTTGACTTTGCTTTCTCTTCAATGCTGCCATTAAACCTGAAGAGAGAAGATGCCGCGTTTGGGGGGAAATCTAAAATCCGCAATTGTAAGGCAGTGTTGGTGGTTTATTTCACAGGATGGTTAATGTTTACATTGGTGCAATAATTTGTAGCGTAAAGAGCTGTGCATCTGAACAGTGACAAAACTTCTCAAGCTGAGGAGCGTTCTGCAATTCATCCTGACAGTAGAGTTTTCCACACTGCTTGGTCCTTGAGCTTAAAGCACTCATGCTTTCTGACAAAGCATATGAAAGTCAAGGAAGGGATATGGATCCAATAATTACCTGCCACTTATCAGATCTGCTAGACACATTTGCTTAGAAACTGCAAAGCAATTTGGCAACGTTCCTTGAGGAGAAAAGACAAATCGACACTTAGTTATTGATTGCTGCACTGTGGCTTGCTTGGTGGGCAACTTCCGAAAGCAAAACACATTTCTGGCTGCATAACCACCAGCGTGTGCAGTTCCTTGTGTAGAGCAGCAGCATCCCTCTCCCTGCCTTCCTTCAAAACTGCAAGTCAGTGTGGCCATGAGGATCCAGGCTCTGAGGTTAGAGGCTCAAATTCCAGCTCTGCCATTGACCAGCTTTGAGTACTGCATGAATCATTTCAACTCTTCAGGTTACAGGTTTCTTATTGGTAAAGTAGGCATAGTAATTGTGGCTTCCTCATACATGTGTTGGGAGAATTAAACGAGTTAATCCATGGAACACACACAGCACAATTCATGAAGCCACTCCACAGTCGCTGCGGTTATTATCATCACCATATTGCACAGATGAATGTGAATCAGAAAGTAGGTCACAGAGATTAATAGTATGTTCACTCCATATCAGTCTAATGTGGAGTCAGCTATAAAACGCAATTACTTTGTAAGTAGTAAGCGTGATGCCAGCATTTAGCAGAAGAAAAATCTAGTGTAAAATGCCCTCATTGCCCTGAGTACAACTGGGTGTTGGGTGGGAATTTCTGAATGAGTTTTTTTTCTCTCCCAAACTCTTGTGATTTTTAATTTTCGCTGCTGGTTATAATGTGTATATTTCATGACGGACATTATCCTGAAAATGACACAAAGCAGGACAAATATGTGCCTGCTTCCCATGCAGGTAGATCTTTGCACTTGAGGACATAGGGAGCAACAGTAATCGGTTTGCATTTACCCAATTTGATGATGCCCCTTGTGAGTAAGAAATTGGACTTTGATCTATATCGCTATGAGGCCCTCATCTTGTACATCTACAAGGATTCGCTTTAGAGGTTTCCAAAATAATAACAATTTAAAACAGGGAGCTGTTCAAACACCGAATTATCTGTGAGATGGGGCCAAGTTACACCAGATGCATTGGCTCAGTTCCTACATCTGGGCTCTGAGGCGGGTAACAACAACAACAGAAAAATCTTCATGAACAGTATTTTAAGAATTTGGCAACACACAGGACAGGGGAATTAGAAGGAATTCTTTGCTGCAAACAGAACTGGTGGAAACAGTTCTGTTTGCTCACCATGGTTCAGCCAGCAGTCCAATAGGCCTGGCCTTAGATACAAACAAGCATGCCTGGAGTTTTGTCCAAAGCCACCGTGTCCCCATAATCAAGGCCAGCGTACTTGCTGGCAGAGGTCCAAGAGCTGGGAATGGCAGTGTGTTCTGCAAAAACATGAAGCATGAAATGGCTTCTCAGATTAGTAGTCTTTAGCTTAATGGTAACAGTTCTCAGCAGTGAGTTGAAAAGAACATGTTTTATGGGAAGTCTGATTGCTTCTTCTTCTGTCTCCTCCCCCTCCTCCTCTTCTTTGTCTGCCCTTCCTGAAATAATTCAGCATCATTGATTGTTTTCTTTTGTTACTTCTCTAAGAGTTTCATTTATTCCCAGATTATTGCACTCATTTTATAGAAATAGGGAAACACTGATGGGCTTAAAAGACTAGTGTAAAAAATACTCACTTCAGAAACAGATTAAGAATTATAGGACTCAAAGTTAATTGATGAAATTTAAGTACCGAGAAAGGAAGACTGTCAATGGTATGAGGGCCTTCAGTGTAGTCAGGGATGGAAAGGATAAAGAAGAATGACTATTTTTTTTTTCGAGACAGGGTTTCTCTATAGCTTTGGAGCCTGTGCCTCCTGAGTGCTGGGATTAAAGGCGTGCACCACCACCGCCCGGCAGGAATGACTATTTCTTAATAATTGCCCTAGAATTTCATTTTAGTGAGGTGATGGATCCCTGTTTCTAGAAAAGTTCAGCAGACCCAGGCATATAATAAAGAAGTTTATAATCTAGAAGACATCAAATGACAGAAAACTGACAAAATGAAATGGCATATTAGGTCATTGTTTGATATATTAAGATAGTTAGAAGACATGGAACAATATCAGTTGGATGCTAGGGTGCCAGGCATCCATCCAGGGAGATACCCATTTAAATTCTGAGTAGCTGGAGTGAATTTTTGAGAGAATAGATGAGGGCAAAAGCCTTCCTGGTTTCAAGGGAAATATGTGAAGGAAATCCTGGGAGAAGAAGTGGATGGCTTTCTAGATGACAGGGTTGCCCAAGCCTGATTTTTCAGAGCCTGGTGACAGGCCCATGAAGACATATGGAGCCCAGGGTACTCACGGACAATTCACTCTAGTCAACTCTTTGGTTCAATAGAGAAAGAAACATAGATTGCATTGACTAGTTTACAAGTCTTAGACAATATAATCACATCTTGCAGCTGGCAAAACCAGAGATTCACAAGTCTAGAATTGCTGCTGGCTCCAGGTGGTACAACTTAAATAAAAGAGAGCCAGGGTGATGAGAGGGATGCTCAAGCATTCGCGTGTTGTTCCCAGATTAGCAGACAGCAGCACAAAGCAGCAAATCCTAAATTCTGGACTCTGGTGACTCGAAAAGCTGTCTGGACTGGTGAACTTAATCAAGAAAAGAAAAGAAACAAGGGAAGAAAAGAAGAGATGTGTGTTGAGACAAGGAGTCAGGTAGAAACCAGGTACTGTTTATGATTTAATCTTGGGAGTCTACTTCTCCTCTACTGTTTCATTATTAGGTAGAAGCTGTGGGATCAACACACCTTGAACTGAAGTCTTTGAAACCGTGAGACAAAATATTTTCCCCCCTTTCAGATATTTTGAAATGGTGGCTGAAGATGACTAATATAAAACATCTTTTCTCTTAGTTATTCTCTAAACTCTTTGCCAGTCATTCTGGTATTTCCACCCAAATATATCATCGCCAGCCCATTGTCTTCTGTGTATTTCCATCTCTACAGCAATCAGCTACTTACATTCAGTGTGTAGCTCCTGAATTGCAGGAGGTGCTTAATGAGATTGTATAAGTCCATGTGTACAAGCATGTCATAGTGCTGCAGAATCGCTAAGCAGGATGGATGGTGAAGATGAAGGGAGATTGGGGAAGGGATACTATCTCTCATAAATAATCACTGTAGATACTGACCTCCATTTTAGATAGTGGGAAAGAAACATCCTACTATGAAACTGATCTTTCTAGAAACTTATAGGGAAGCCAGAAAGTTTGAGGTTCATAGCTCAAGATAGTTTTCTCTTGCCCTACCTAGCTGTCTGGCAAATTGTAAATGAAGAGAGGATTCAGATGTTTGCCTTGTCTTTTTTCACATTGAAGATTTCCTTCTTCCTGTTAAGGTAAAACTTATTTTACTTTTTCCTTGGGGGCTTTGAAAGAACATTACTTTCACTCACTTGCCAGAGAAAATACATTTTTCTCCTAAAAGTAAGTCTAGTTTTTAGCTTTAAAATATCTTTTCAGAAAATTTCCCTGGAAGCACAGTACGCTGATATTGAAAAGAAGCAAATACCTTTATGTATTTTGACGCTTTCATAGGAAATAATAAAACTCCCCCATTTCTCAGAAG